ATGATAGCCTACTGCCTTTGAACTTACGTTTGCATAATTAGATGCAACTTTTCACTGACGTATAGATGAATATTCCCCTACCATAGCAAATAAGAAGGTAAGTATTATCTTCTATGTTGTTGATAAGGTCCTGCTTTCACATTCCAAGAGGTAAATCTAAAATCTAACTAGTTTCTGTCTGCAGGAATCTTTATATTTAAGTCAAAGTTATTTTGTATAAGTTAGTCTTTAGCATGGAGAATGATAACATGCTTTTTAGAAGTCAATTTATTTAATTTTCTGGGTATTTGTTTTGGTGACCTCTTAATTAATTTTGAAAAAAACTTAATTTTTTTCAAAATTTAAGTTTTATGAGAGTCATATTAAGGTCCTGTTGTATTAGAAGATATTTCTGACTTTAAAAAAAAAAGAACAAAGTAATTATTAAGTAGTTAAACAGGTTTATTTACTAAAGAAGTTCTCAGAGTACTTTATGTGCTTATATGGTGAATCTGAAGACATAATACTTTTCTTGACTAGATCAGTGTTTCTTCTTGCAGGATGAGTGTTCTACAGAACATAGTTTAGGAAATCTTGGGTAATAGTGTTGATCTCTAATGCTACTTTAAGTGTGGACTGATATTCATTCCATAAGTTATTATAGATTCAATTTAGAAGTTGCAAGTTATCAGTTGGAATCTTTGATAGCAATTCCACATTGCCAAGACATCCAAGTGGGTGATTAGGAGGTTTGACTTGTTGAATTCTATGGAACAATTCAAGTATTGTCCAGCCTTTGTGGTGATTTGCATGTGGCATGAATTACAGACTAGTCATGGCCAGTAAGACCACTTAATGGTCCTTAGAAGGCTGAAAGAAGAAAAAACAAAACCATTGTTCTTCACCACGGATAGTTTAAGAAGCATTGCTCTGAAGCTCCTTCTGGTTTTTACAAGTCTGTTGATCTCTTACACTTAATATAGATAGTGTCCTTTCTCACTTAAAAGTTTATAATCGATTTAATATTGAAGCATCATATAAAGCATATAAAACACAGTCAGTTTTAGAATTAAGTTCAATTGCAGCAGGATTTTATTTTTATTTATTTCTAAGGAAACTTTAGAATCAACTAGTTGTCATTTTTAGAATTCTTAACTATTATGTACTTACTTTGTTGTTTGATTAAGTGTGATTTCTTCTCTGAATTAAATTTCAAAATCCATAGCTATAGCTCATGTTTCCATCTAGTTGTGAACCTTTTATTATGTGTCATATGTCTTAAATATTTTTGTTGTTTTGTAAGTTTTTACTTTTTTTTTCTTTTTCTTTTTTTTTTTTTGAGATGGAGTCTTGCTCTGTCACCCAAGCTGGAGTGCAGTGCTCCAATCTCAGCTCATTGCAACCTCTGCCTCCCAGGTTCAAGCAATTCTCCTGCCTCAGCCTCCCTACTACCCAAGTAGCTGGGATTACAGGCACCTGCCATCATGCCTGGCTAATTTTTTATATTTTTAGTAGAGACGAGGTTTCACCATGTTGGCCAGGCTGGTCTCAAACTCCTGACCTCAAGTGATCTGCCTGCCTTGGCCTCCCAGAGTTCTGGGATTATAGGTGTGAGCCACCGCACCCAGCCAGCTTTCTGCGGTTTTCAAAACTTCGATTGAAAATATTCTCATCAGTCCCCTATATTGTGTAATGTAATTTGTTCTCAATTATCTATGCAAATAAAGTGACCTCAGGTGTGAGATAGACAGCTATATCATGCCATAGTCTGTGCTGCTTCCCATCCTTTGGGCTACATAAGTTTTTATGTAGTTAATCAGGGATTTGCATGGAAGGAGATTGCACATAATAATGAAATAATTTCTAAAAATGTCTAGTTTCTAAATCACGGACATTCTGCTTATTGTGCTTTGTAAATGACAGACTACATACTATGGGCCAATATAATAGTTTCTGTATAGAAAAGGAAGAAATGATTTAAACACACACACACGCACACACACAGCATTTTATCACAAATAAGAAAGGTGGGTCTTCTAATGGAAAAAATTAAAGTTGGATACCATGATGCCTGCATTAGCTAATTATAAAGTCCTAATCATGTCCTCTCTATATACCCAGTTTGCTAAACTGCCAAATAGAGGTATTCCTCCCTTCCCCCACCCCACATCCCTTTCACATACATCCCTCACAAGTCTTTAGGAGAATAAAACTGGAACACCTATGTAACACGCTATAAAATAATGTGCTTAAACATCATAGTTGCACCTTAATTTTCTAATAATCCAAAGGTAAATGTGCTCATCTGTATAGTTTGTTGTACTTTGAACGTATGCTGACACAAAAACAGATAAGCTTAATGTCTGAAGTGTCTCGCATTAAACTGGATAGACTTCATGTAATTGGCTTAGTTTTAAGTAAACAACAATGATGTTGTGGTGTAGCAAAAGTATGAGTTTATAAGGATATGAATTTAAATTTTGGCTCTTATGTTAATTTCTCCTATAAAGATTTCCAATATATTAGACCTTTCAGAACCCCAATTTCCTCATGTATAAAAATGAGAGAAATGGATTAAATTTTATCTAGGGCTCCATCTGTCTTTATCAGATCTTGAGTTAGACATCTACAGAATAATGCTACAGAATAATAAAAAAATGGACCACAAGATGGCGTTTGTAGCTAATGAGTCCTTTTGCATTAACTATCTGTGTTGCAGTCATTTAAATATTTGCAATAATTGCAAGTGCACATTTATCACTTACATTCTTGAGAGATATGTAAAAGTAATTTTTAGAAAAATAATCTGCAAATCCTGTTATTTTTAAGTTATTGGTATTTCTAAAATTATAAATTGGCAGATGATTCTCAGAAGCTGAATTTAGACTTTTCCAAAAATGAAATTTAATGAATAATTTGAGCTATTGCAAAATAATAGAAGTTGCTTTTCTCTGGCAGTATCAACTCTAATTTCCAGATTGATTACATATCAGAATTTGAAAATATGTACCTCCTGAAAGTTTTCATTAGTGTTTCAATTTCAGGTTTAGGAGATTAAAAAACAGTTACTAAAATGTTACACACCCTATTGCTGTCATTGTAGGCATAACCTAATGATTTTTATAGATGATAAATAATTTCGTGATGCTATTGACCTAGTAGAGAAATGATTGCCAATTTGAGCTTCAATGTTTTCTCAAATGTAGGTGATATCAGCTATGTCCAGGATCATTTGAGACGACGTTAAAATACTTAGAAGAAACTCAGTCATATTTCCAATTGGTAGCTTATTGAGAAAGATGTAATTATCATGGTACTCTCTCTAAAAGGTGCTTTTTGATTAAAGGTGAAAAGTAGAAGCACAACAGCTTTATGTGGCTGAATATGGGAATTTCCCGTTTTAAAATAAATATATGGGAAGGTGTGGCTTTTACATATTCTATAATAATAAGTATCAGTATTATTAGGTAAATGTCTAGTTATTTTACTTTATTACCACAGAAATACATAATTATATTTTATTTTGACTTATGTAATAATTTGGATGAAAAATTTTCTAGTTAGCTGTTTCTATCAACAGTGTGGTGTCATTACCTATGGAGATATCAGCTGTTACATAGGCATCACATGGTGGCTAAGGGCATGGGCTTTGGACAAATGACTTCTGACTTTTAGCTGAGTGACCTTAAGGACTTTTTTTTTTTTATTGTAGTGAGCCTCAGTATCCTCATCGATGAAGTGCTGAAAATGCCATAGATTTGTTTGGGTGTTAAAATATAAATGTACGTGCATATACATATATGTATGTATAGGAAAGGAATACGTAAAGATGAAAGAGAAGTCTTAGAAGCAAAGGTTAACATTCCCAGTGAGTCACTAAAAATTGTTTATAAGATTTTATGCTCATCAGGTATTTCCAGGAGTCTTAACCAGCACATGCGTTAAGCCACTAATTTTACTTGAGCCCAAAATTGCCACCATAGAAAACAGGTTTTAAAGCTGCTAAACAAATGAATGAATGGATGAATGAATGAAAGAAAAGCAGTTAACTCAGTGTCTAATAAGGATTCAGTAAATGTTGGCTACTAGTAGTACAAGCAGCTGTAGTGGTACTGAAAATATTTCTCATATATTTGTGAATCTTATCTTTGGAAATTATAATGACAATTATCTTACAAATACCAAATACGAGGAGGAGAAGTAAAATTTTATGTTTGCTGTATTCCACACTGGGTCAAGCAAAGCAGAGCAAGGCATATTTACAAATTATATGTGATTTCATTTGCCAACTTCCTGTCAGCCATGGTTAGCCTCTGGAAATCTTCAATTTTAGTTCTGGGATGAAACTTAACGGACACACATAGTTCAAACCCTTACGATGAATAGGTAAACAGGCCCAGAGCAATAAAGAAATTTGCCTGAAATCACACTGTAGAACAGAACATCTTCATATCCCACAAGCTTGAGAAAATAGTGATTCTCAAATGTGGAAGCTTCCATTGAAAGCTGTATCTTATCTATAGAAATACCATTATTTTCACCATTTACTCTTTAGAAAACTTGATCACATCTGCCTGTGGGATTACTACCCGCTTATGAGAACTGAAGAGACATTTACCTCTTCTAATGCAAAATGTCACCACCTTTACTGAAGTATCAAGAGATTTATTTTCAAAACTGAAAGTTAGTTTTGGAATTAAAACTTAATTTTCTACGTATTCTATCTGTGTGTACTGCATTTGAGGAGGTTTTCAGCCTGTGTGTAGAAACAGAAAGGCTTCGTTTACCTGTTGGGTCTGTTTTCCCCACCTCTGGCTCACCTTCCTGTGGTGGTTCTCTTTGTCTGAGTTCTCTCCTCAGAGAGAAATTGCACTTGCCTTTGGCTTCAACTGCAGCCACCTGGGGGAAACGTGTACTGGATTCTCAATTAACGAGGATTTGTGATAAGCTTTTTTTCTGGTCAAACCACATCTTGGCTCATTGCATGTACAGCATATTTATCAGCTTATTTTTTTCTGCAGTGAGAAGGAGCTGTTCACCATGGTTTCCTATAGAGCACTGGAAAAAAACACAGTACTGCACTATGAGAGTCATTTTTCTTAACTGTAAAATGAAATTACCTGATTTCATCAGAAGATTATTGCATGAAATAAAACAGTATGTATGGAAAATGATGACATCTTATTCAAATGGAAGTGGAACTCCTGTTGTTGTTGGTTCTCCCATGATAGTATGAGAATCCAAAGCTAGAATGAGCTAACCGGAACTATTAAATGTCAGGCCAGCAGTGTTGCTGGATAGTTTTTACTACTACTCTGGTTTTGACAGATACTAACTTTCTTCACTCACTGTAATGATTTAAAAGTGGGAAAAATTGTTTGATGACAATGCAAAGCCAAATAAATAGAAACGTCTTTTAAAAATATTAACTTATAAGCAAATCTCACACTAGGTTTTGAGTTTTTTTTGGTTGTATTAACGATTCTTTATATCCTCCAATTGTAATCCTGAGCACAGTAAATACTCACTGTAATAAATTACTTAACTATATGGTATAAACAATATATGTCTTGAGTTTTTCCTTAGGTTTCATACTCAAGAGCAAAGAAATTTAAGGAGCCTTAGAGATCATCTTTTTGTTGTTTATAAAGATTTGTGTACATTAATTTGATATATGTGCAGGATATCAGGTAACACGGGTGAATATTAAACATTGGTGGAAACAGGCAATTACATTTATTTAATTAAAAACCTGCTATCAAGAATCCCAAAGTTATCTGGTAGCGTCAGGAGCTGCATAGTTCAAGGTCAGATCTCAGCTTTGCAGGCCCAGAAAAAAAAACCATATTGGTCAGCAACATAAGTGGGGTTCAGGCTTTTAGGGCAAAACTTAATATTTACATGTTTGGAGAGCAATAGAAACCAAGGTATCAGTTGATTAGTGTTCAAATAGAAAAGTGCAGTTTTCTGATGGCCAGCATCTTAGCATCAGTTGTTCAATATATTCCTTCTCTATAGAGTCGTCTGCATTTACTGAGCACTTACCATATTCCTGACATGTATTAATTCAGTCTTCTTCAAAGAATAGATACGTTCCTAGAAATATATACAGAATTTCCAAGATACATGAAGGGAATTAATTTCCATACACTCACCTTTTGTAAATACTCTTTCCTAAAATGTGATCAGCCTGATGCCCCAGCAATCAGGGTTTCTTACCTATTTCTCCTTCCAAAATCATCCTTCTACTATGTGAAAGAAAGGCATCTCATTCTCATGACCCAGTGACTTATTAAATGTACCCTGGTGATGGTTCAGAAGATTGACTATCCATTTGTTGATGGATAAATACTGGCATACAATTGATGAGATTTATAACACACTTAGACCATGAGCCTCAGCTTTCTCACCTGTAAAATAGGATTCACAGTAGTCATTGTGAGGCTTAAAGAAGGTGATATATAAAGCAATCATTATAATGCCTAACCAAGTATTCATATCAGTATATGGCAGTTGTTAATGTTATTTCTGTTGCTATCCTATGTCAATTGTTCTATAATATTCTGTATTTCAAAACACATACTTTTTCTACTTCTGGTATGGAAGATAAGGAAATCATGAAATAGCTAATTTGTCTGTCTTATCAAGTTTTACTATCCCTTTTAGTACTTACTTTAGAAATGAAAATATTAGCTCACATCACTAATTAGCATGGACAACTACTGAATATCTTGGATCTTTATTAAACTAGCATAGTTAATGCAGAATATGAAAATGATAGGAGTTTGTTCACTTGAGGACTAACACCATCTTTGGTGCAATTTGAATCACTTATTAGACAAGAATTCTAAATAGAGCAGGCTGCTTAGAATTTCATTTTGAATTTTACCTGGAGAATGTTCAGAAGTTTATTTAAATGATAGTTTTGCAGTTATTAAAAATACCTAATATCTTCTGAAAGTAGTAATTGCTTTGGGGCTGCCCTGCAGGGGTGCCAGATACAAGATTGTGTATGGGTTTGCAGAGAGCAAACCAGAGAGCTCTAGCAGAAAGATGGTTTGCAAAGGAAACTGAGGGCTTTTCTCTAAATGTAAAGTGTGGTGCTGTTCCCATCAGCCCTCTCCACCTAGTTAATAGTTTTCTGTTTCGTAAACATTGTGGGTAGATTTTTTAAAGATATACTTCGGCATTTTTGTATTTCCTTCTTTTTTAAACTTGACATTTGGTGAAGGAGGTTTGTGAGTGGTTTATGAAACTGAGTTTTTTTTTTTCTTGCTATTGAAAAGCAATAAAATACTGATAATAGCTAATATTTATTGCATATCTGCATATGATGTTTATTGTAGCTTTTTGGAAGTGTTGTTCCTCGGGTTGTGGAACTTCTCCTTTATTCCTAATTTGCTGAGAATTTTTTTTTTAATAAGGAATGGACATTGGAATTTGATAAATTTTTTTTCTCTATTGAGATAATGTTGCATTTAATATTATCATTTGATAAATAATTGGATGTTAATCCAATCTTGCATTCGTGGAATAAACTCCATTTGGTTATGATGCATAATTCTTTATGGAAATTACTACATTTGATTTACCAAAATTTTATTTAGAATTTTCATATCTATGTTTAGGAGGAATAATGGTCTGTAGTTTTCTTTTCTTGGAATATCTTTGGCTCTGGTATTTTGGACAGCATCCCCATGTCTTCAATTTTCTGGAAGAGATTATATGGAATTAGTATGATTTCTTCCTTAAATGTTTGCTGTAATTCACTAGTGAAGAATTCGGCCTGGAAATTTGTGTATGTGTATGAAGATATTTAACTACAAATTCAGATTCATTTGGGTTATTGGTTTCTTCTATGGTGAATTTTGGTAATTTATGTCTTTCAAGGAATTGGTCCATTTCATCTACATTGTCAAATGTAGAGGCATAAAGATCTTCATAATTTTCTTTTTTCCTTTAGTAGAGTCTGAACTAACATTAAACCTCTCATTCCTGACCCTTGGCAGCATGGCTAAAAGTTTAATTTTCTCAAAGATCTAATATCAGTTTCATTGATTTTTCTTGATTGTTTTTCTTTTTTCTTTCATTGAGTCCCACTTTGCTCTTTTCTGTTTTTTTTTTTTTTTTTCTTCTGCATTTAATTGTTCTTTTTTTGGTTTTCAAGGTAGAGACTAAAGTCATTGATTTGAAATCTTTCCTCCTTTCATATGTAGGCATTTAGTGCTAAAAAATCTCTATGTTCTACTTTAATGGCATACCAAAATTGTTGCTGTGTTGTGTTTTCATATTCAGTTCAAAACTTTTTCTAATTTCTCCTTTGATTTGTCCTTTGACACTGGAGGCTTTTTATAATTGTCCTGTTTAGATTTCAAATATTCGGTGATTTTAAAGATATCTTTCTGTTACTGATTTCTAGTTTAATTCCATTATGTTCAAAGAACATACTTAATATGACTTGAATCTTTTAAAATTTATCAAGACTTCTTGTATGGCCCAGAATGTGATCTATATTGGTAAATGTTTTATGGGCACGTGAAAGAAAATATGTATTCTGCTTTTGTCCTGTAGATCTCAGTTAGGTCAACTTGATTGATAGTGTGGTTCAGATCTTCTATATGAGTGCTGATTTTCTGTCCACACATTCTGTCAGTTCTTGAGAGGGGTATCAAAATCAATTATGCTTGTAGATTTGTCTTTCTCCTTGTATTTCTGTCAGTTTTTATGAAACTCTTTTATGTGTGTAAACATTTTAAATTATGTCCTCTAGATGTATTGGCCCTTTTATCATTATGAAATGATCATCTTTATCTCTGATAATGATCTTTGCTCTGAAATCTACATTTCTGATACTGGTGTAGCCATGCTAGCTTTTCTTTTGACATGTGTTACAATAAAACATATATATATATATATATGTATGTGTATATATATATATATAAAATTTTTTTTTAATTAAAAAAAATAAACCCAGGATCTCACTGTGTTGCCCAGGCTTATCTCAAACTCCTGGGCTCAAGCAATCCTCCCACCTCGACCACCCAAACTGCTGGGATTACAGGCATGAACCACCGTGCCTGGCCATGTATATATTTTTTAATCCTATTTAAAATATTTATAAGAAATTTAAACAAAGTATAGGTAGGTCTTTTTTTTTAATTCGGTTGGCAATCTGCATCTTTTAATGGTGTGTTTAGCATATAGACATTTGAGTAGATTATTGGTATATTTGAGTCTTTTATCTTGCTGTTTTTCATTTGTCCTGTCTGTACATTGTTCCCATTTTCTTCTTTTGCCTTCTTTTGAATTGATAGACAATTTTACATGATTTCATTTTACATCTCTTTGTGGTGTATTAGATATAACTCTTTTGTATTAGGTATAACTCTTTTATTATTTTAGTGGTTATTTTTAGGTTACTGTATGTATCTTAAATTTGTCATAGTCTACCTTCAGGTAGTATTATACTGCCTATATAAGAACCTACAAATGTATTTTTTCATTCCCTTCCACCTGACATTTATGCTGTTTTTGTCATGCATTTTACCTCTACATGTATTACAAGCCCTGTAAGATTTTCCTTTTTTTAATTCATATATTTTAATACATTTAAATAATAAAGTATATATCATATGTACTCATGTAGTTACTATGTCATTTATTTATAGATCCATATTTCTATCTGGTCTCTTTTTTTTCTGCCAGATAAGCTTTTTTTTTTTTTAAACATTTCTTATAGTGTGTTCTGACAGTGATAAATTTTGCAGATAATGAATTAAGTGATTTTGCAGTCTGCTTGATGGGATCTTGTACTATTGTAGGCCCTATGAGAATGCTGGATACTGTTTAATCCTTCCTGATGGCTTTTTTCCCCTGTGTCTCGTAGTCTTCTCACATGCATGTGCCAATCAGTACTCTGCTTGGTGTGGCGCATCCTCTGCACACCTCCAGAGTTTTCTCTCTATGCACCACTCTCTTCTCTGTTACTCTGGTCTATGAACTCTAGCTGCATTTTCTCTAACTCTTAGCTCTATCCTTTTAACTCAGTGAGTCAGCCAGGTAATGTCTCCCTTCACCATGGCCTGGAAATTCTGTTAAGGCAACAAGCTGGTATATTAGAGGGATGCTAATATAGTTTAGATATTCATCCCCGCCCAAATCTCATGTTGAAATGTCATCCGTAGTGTTGGAGTTGGGGCTGGTGGAAGGTGTTTGGATCATAGTGTTGGATCCCTTATGTATGGCTTGGGCCATCCCCTTGGTGATAAGTGAGCCCTTGCTCTGAGTTCACATGAGATCTGGTTGTTTAAAAGTGTGTAGCACCGCCCCCACCACTCCTGCATTCGCCATGTGGCATGCCTGCTCCCACCTCACCTTCCGCCATGATTGTGAACTTCCTGAGGCCTCCCCAGAATCTGAGCAGATGCTGGCACCAGCTTCCCATACAGCCTGCAGAACTGTGAGGCAATTAAACCTTTTTTCTTTATAAATTACCCAGTCTCGGGTATTTATTTATAGCAACGCAAGAACAGCCCAATACAGATGCCATAACAAAATTCCTAAGACTAGGTGGCTTAAACAACAGAAATTTGTTTCCTTACAATTCCAGAGGCTAGAAGTCTAATATCAAGGTGTCAGCAGGCTGCTTTCTTCTAAGGTCCCTCTCCTTGGCTTACAGATGCCCACCTTCCTGCTGTGTCCTCAGATGATTCTTCCTCCTTGCTCACATTTCTGGTTTCCTCTCTGTGTCCAGATTTCCTCTTCTTATAAGGACACCAGTCATATTGGATTAGGGCTCACCCATATGACCTTATTTTACCTTAATGACCTCTTTAAAGACCTCATCTCCAGGTACAGTCACTTTCTTAGGTACTAGAATTAGGGCTTCAGTCCATAACACTGGGGTAATCATGGAGCTTACTCTGGTTTTGTTTGTTTGTTTGTTTGTTTTTCTCCTCAGGGGCCACTATCCTTTGTTGCCTGATTTCCAGGGTGTTGAAAACCATTGCTTTATATATATAGTATCTACTGGGTTGATTGATTTAGGCAAAAGAGCCTTTCCAGTCCCTGTTACACCCTCTGGGTCAGCAACAGAAGTCCTGAACCTGAGTTCTTGATCACTACTCTATACTTCCTCACACTGACCTTTCACAAACATGCCGAGATTTATGGGGTCTGCCTTTTGCTCATCTTTTAGTCTGCATTCAGTGATTACTTCCACTAGGAAACATTAGGACACTCCAATCTTAGATCCTATTACTGTTACTCCCATCATGTCCTGTAACATCACAGATCCTATAGTTGATTATATTTGCTTACTTGGGTTTCATGCTAAATCCTAATTTCTATTGGTTTGTGAGCTGTGCGCTAGTACCGTCACAGTGCCTGGCATATAGTAAGAACTCCAAAATATTTGTTGAGTGAAGAGATTTTTGTATGTCTACCCTCCATGCCCCCCAAATCATGTGTAGTTTGGACAATTATAAATTACTTACAGTCCAAAATTTGAAAAATATACTAAATGTGAAGTAATTTATGCCTTTTCATTAGTATAAGCACTTAGATATACTTAAAGATATCTAAATTATTCTCCTGTACCGTCTAAGAGGAGGCCACTCTTACTAGGTGGTTCCTGTAGTAACTACCTGACCCTGATTCCTCTACTCCCCTCCCCTCCCTCCTCTTCCTATTTTATTTTGTCATTTCTCCATCCCTAGGAGAGAGGCTATTATTATTATATATCTGAGGAACTAGAATATCGTAAAGTTAGTAACTTACCGGAGGATAAAAGCAAATCCCAGAATTGATTCATTACAGTTACTGTGCTTCTTGGATTGTACTTGACTTTCAGTACCTTCTAAAGCTATTTAAAGAAAAATATACCTTAAAGTCTTGATAAACTTGATTACTTTAATGAGGCCTACATTACCCCAAGTCTGGCCTTCAAAATATATTACAAAATAAATACCCATTATTTAACCCAGTAATTTATTGGGTAAATTTTACCCAGTGTCTTTTTTATTTGACAATTAGGTCATTCAATGTTTTACTGTTCTCCTGTAATTATACAAATCTTTTAGCTTATTATTAGCTTCCTAAGTTATTGGAGCCTATCTCAGAGTTAAATCACAGTATGTAATCTTCATGAAAATCTGAATTGACATAGTATTTCCCATATTCTAAATCTTCAGTTTGAAAAAAGTGTTTGTGCATACGCACACACATACACATACACATACATAATTATATGAATACATACTTTTTGAAATGCAACACACTTATAATTTGAGAGCTTTAAATGTTTGAGTTTTTACAGTGTTTGAAAAATCTCTAGTCTGTTATTAGCACTGGTTGTCCGATATGGACACATTAAAGCTGTGAAAGGATTAGAGGCAGAAGAAGTGACATGGAGGTAGTTGAGCCAGGTGGACCAGTGTTAATCAGTCCAACTTTGGAGTGTATTATGTAGAAACATACATGTCTATGGCCGTCTATCCACGTTTGAAAAAAAAAAAAAAACAACATAATTTCTTTCCAAATTCATTATAGCTCAGGCTGAATATACATTAGAGTAGGTATGATTTAGAAGAATCCTAAGTGCGTTCAGACTGTTAACATTATGCTGTAGATAAACTTCATACAGATACTTGAGACTGGTCTATTAGGAAGATCATCCTCAGGCAAAATCAAATAGGCCACATTTATGTTTATGTGTTCTGAATGCCTTCAGACCCTTAACAATCCTGTGTCATTTCCTGTGGCACATTAATAACTTAAGTCTTTCCACCCATTCCCGACAGACCATCCTAACAGTTGCTAACTTTTTGAGCATTCACTTTATGTTATGCATTCTGCGTAGAGATTTATACAGATTATATAAATTTAATTCTCACAGTTGTGCTAGTGGTAAGTACTATCATTAACCTAATTTGTAGCTGAAGAAACTCTAATAAAGGTTAATCAACTTTCTCAAATTCACACTTGATGTAATGGGATTCAAATCAGACTGAAGTGTGTTTGTATCATCACTCCTCCTCAGCTCCAACTGGCTCCATCTTTTTCTCTATAACGTGGAGCTCTTATTTTTCTCTTGATATGGGGTAATAGTAGACTATTTCAGCAAACTAATCCTTGCTAATCTTTTTAACCTTTAATATGTTTTCCCCTTACTTCACAGTAGCATCCCTCATTAAGAATTAAAATATGTAGAAAATGACAAGGATTCTGACAAGATGATAGGAGAGAAGAATAGAACAGATTGCAATAGGAACAGATGTGTTAGAATTTATTAATCCTTTAACGCTGAAAGTAAACCGTTATTGATTGCCTCATGGTGTGTTTCCATTATTCAGTGCCTTGCTACGTGGGAGTCATTCCTTACATCACAGACCAACCTCCACTTGGAAGAAACCTCTGAAGATAAACCTTAATCCCATTGAGGACTTCTGTTTGATCTTTGGGAGACAGCATTTATTAACCAAAGTTATTCTTTCTGGATCTGCCATGTCCCTTATAAAGTGGATGAAAAATGTTTTGTACTATCTGGAAAACCAACAACTTGAAACCTCAGGTATTCCAGGTCACTGACGTGAATTTGAAGATATATCTATCTGTATGGATATATATCTATATGTATATAGATATAGAAATACAGAGAGAGATCTGGCTTGGTTTTAATTATGTTCTTAAATTTGTGTGCCAATAATTGCATATAGATTTTTTTTCTTAAATATTTGACTGTGGAACATGCCATTTTAAATATGTTGTAAGGACTGTTTTAATAAAAAGTTTAGTATGAAGTGGCTGGCTGCAGTGTATTCCTTGCCTCCTAGTAACTCAAGCCTCTTAAACATTCTAAATTGAGTTCAGCATGTGTTAACAAGTATACTGTGCATTCAATTTTATT